GTCTCCTATTAATGTATTTTGAAATATAACCCTAGGAGTATGCTTGGTGATTATAGACTTGCAGTGTCACAGAGCTTTGTGAGCTCCTTCCTATCTGACCACTAAAACAAATACTTTTCCTTTTATTCTCATTTTAGAGGTGAGCTTGTCCTAGACAAGACACAAATATATTCCTTGCCCAGACTTCACAACTGTACGTAGACCAAAATTCATCCACAACTGCTTCGAATTCCCAAGTTCCACTGCATGAAAAGTAACTCTGCAAACTTTGCACAGAGCAAACTTTGTTCATTGTTCATTGAATAAGGATATAGCACAAATTATGAAAGTCTAATTAAAACAATCCAGCTCCAAACTCTTTATAGGATGCATGTATTTTATTCCCTATTTAATGCAGGAGGTAGGGAAGAAGTCTTACAGGACTCCTCCCTACCTAGAATTTACATTACTACACATGCAAGATATTAGCTACAATTACTAGCATTTAGAGTTTTAGCTTGCCATTTATAGCACACATTTTAAAATTCACTGCTGCTACCCACTTCTCTCCAGGAGTGAGAAAGACAGCTTCCACCTCGCTTGTCACATGGGTACATCTGAATCAAACGAGGACATTCCTTTAGGCTGTGCCAGGGCAGTACACAGCTTACCCCTCGGTTTTAAGAGATCTATTTCTGCTTTAAGATGACGACACTGGAACAGGAGCTGATCTCCAAATAGCTAGTTCCTACCATATTTTATTTCTTGAGTACTGCACATCCATACAATTGCTCCTGGCCTCGCTCCCATCTCGCTGTTCAAACTGGCCGCATGGGGACTAGATCAACTCAGATACCCTTTAATCACAAATTTACGAGATATACAGCCTCCCTGTCTGAGGGAGAGGCCAGGCAGGGCAGCACCCCAGGGTCTCTCCTCATGGTGTGCCACATTCCTGGCACCCCCTTCCCGCCCTCCACCACAGGTAGAGAACACCCAACTGATTGGTTCCTTCAGACAGGCAGCACCTCATGATTGGCTGTTGCCAGCACAGGCTGCCCGCCTCCTTCTGGATGGTTCTCCACAGTCAGGAACCCCCCTCACCCCAGATGGACCCTGCAACTGGGCCCCATCTATCACATCTAGGTAGGGCTAACTGCAAAAACACCCCAAAACAAACCTCAACAGCTTTCCCAAGCACATCTGACACCCCAGGCATCATTACTGAAGCCAGAGCACATTTTCTCACCATTCTGGATTTCACTTCCTCAGCCTGGTGAGAACAGCCTGCCTGAAACACCTTCCTAAACTCATACACTTTCTCTATCCCCATATTCATGGCAGCTTACTCATAGGAGTTTAAAACCAATTGGATCCTTTAATTATTTCATTAACTAAACCCAACCTTGCTAAGCAACTCTGGCTTGTTACCTAGGCAACCATGCAACATATTATTGGAAAACAAGATCTAAAGAGCTGGTTTTGTACCCTCCCGATTTAGGCTCTTGCAGCAATAGCCTGGCTGGTACAGAATTCCAAGCAGGCACTTTTCTGGCAAGAAGCTGAGGCACACATGCCTACCTGTTAACTCATCAGAATGAAGCCTAATGAGGCCAAATCTGGAGAGTCCTCAGAAAGTGTTATTTAAGGAGCCTCACCTCTGTAACACAAGGTAATGCTAGCACAGATCTAAACACTGCACTTTGGATACTACAGGTAGTAGAATAACTTTACCATTTCCCCAAATAAGATTATTTTTTTTAAACTGGACTGTATGCTGTAAGATTTCTCCAAAATAAATGCCTTGGTTGACACTATTCTGACCAAGGTGTTTTCCCACTCCACAGAACAACCCTGAAGCAGAAACAAGCCTTTCCACACCTCCACGCCAAGCCAGCCCATAATCGAGCAATGCAATTTTCCTGCGCTAGACCCTGTATCAAACCATCAATATGCATAGGATGCTTCTGCAGTAGGTCCTTTATTGTATGCAAAAAAGCCAAGCTATTTTATCCTGAAACTGCAGCAATTTACAGTCAGTACTGTTAGAAATGGAGCTGAAAATTACCTGGGGCAGCAATACTTGGTGAGCTAGGCACAATTTAGGAATATGTTTCTCTTCACCTTAACCCCAGTGTCACCAACAGTGAAACAAAAGAAAAGTGTGCTTTTATTTAGAGGGAGAGAAAATAAACACACTGGCTTGTTTATACTTTATTTCCCTTTGTTTGGGATAAAATATTGGAGAGAATGTTGCTTTTTGAAGATTGTATTTACATCTGTGACAGTGTATAGGCTAGGATTGCAAATATTTATAAAATACCTCCAAAATGTTGTTGTATTCTGAAACAGTACTGTCAAGATTTCATAAATGCTGATACTTAAACATTTGCAGAAGAAATGTGGAATTCTTTTTCATTGCTGTCCAGCTTCTGAGCTTTTGGAGAGAACTTTAGCCATGGTTTTTAAGCTTTTCTCTACAATAAGGGCTAAACTCTTTTTTATCTATAAACCTGAAATTCACATCTAGGTAAAACCTCTAGTAGTCTGTAAAGACATCTCACAGCTTACTGTAGCGCCATTCCATTATCCTTACACCTCTGCTGCTGCTGCAGGAGCCTTATAGTAAAATGGGAATCTGGAACTAAGATTTATAGGGGTCAAGTGTTGCAAAACACCTAGCAGGAAAGAAAACCCTTGATAACAAAAGTGTTCTGAAAATACTGTTTTGTTTGACATGTTTTAAAACAATGTGGCCTGAAAAAAGTTACATTCAGCATTTTAATTTTAGCAAAAGCAATCAAGGCCTTAGTGAGGTGGAAAAAACAGATTCTGAAGAAAGTGTGAAGGATTCTGGGGAGAATTACTAACATTTTGGTGCAGGATAAGGTCAAGGGGACTCAAGCAATACAGTTGAATTTCTCCTACCACCCTTCATCCTCTGTTCTAGTATTTATTTTTTTTCTAGCTCTCAAAACCAGGCTCTAGCTGGGGGTAGAAACCTGAAGACACCTGACCTGAAACACAGCCACCTCTAGAGCTCTGCTCAAGGGGCCTCTGTGCCACCACAAACACTGCCACAACCCCCAGGCAAAGGGTAGCGGGTGGTTTTCTGACTGTTGTGCTGGCTGCCTGACCCACCACCAAAACCACTGCTGGCAGCAGTCCACAGGAGGTCAAGATGAAACATCTGCACTTCGTTGCATGTCTGTGCTGTTTGTGGATGGATACCTGCAAAAGGAAGGGGGAAGAAGTAGAGGGAGAACAAGGCAAAGTGCAAGCGAGGGGAATTTAACATTTAACATCTAAAATTAAACATTTATTAGAACATCCCCTACCAGAGTCCATTAAATCAAAGCTGTGACAGATTACTTCAGAGGATTAAAACAAAAAAGAGAAAGGCAACAGTAGTCTAAAGAGTCAGGCCAAGAAGCAGGTGGGCTAGAAATGAAGCAGCAGCCTGCTCTGGCACAGGCACTGTGCCCCAGAATAGCACTGGAGCCTGTAGGTGTGGGGAAGACTGCACTCTGCTGCCTGTTCACTAGGCTGCTCAGGGCATCCCAACAGTAATTTCTTGGCCCATGGATATTTAGCAGAAGTTCTGGAACTCCTTTAGAAAGGGAAGAAATATATTTAATCAAAACTAGTGTTTGAC